AAAAAAAAAAAAAAAAAAAAAAAAAAAAAAAAAAAAGAAAAAAAACCTCCCTGCTGCATGCATTTTATTCGCGTATTTCAAAAAAATTCTTGATAGTAAAAATCATCTTACAGTTTGCACATATTAGCAATAGAGTATTAAAACTGTTTTTTACTCACTCTAATGTTAAACTTCCAAGCAAGTGGACCTTTCATTTAGGTCATTTACTAGCAATAAGCTGCTGGTGCACCAAACATCCAAATAAGTCAAATGACATAGGCATTCAATAAGAAATCCTGGTAGACCTAGCGTATAGAGAATTCAACTTAGTTACAAAAAGTTAAAAAAAAACTGACATAGGACATTTAACGACAGAAAGATGGCGGCGCATCGAAAATTCAACAAAATCACAAAAAATACTAAGTTAATAAAACAATATTAAAAATGTTAAAACTCAGTTGTCTTAATAATGGAATTCTATAAGCGTTTCATGACAAGTGAACCGTCCAGGGTACTCTTGTACTATGGAGCGACTGGTCTAAATTATTATCTAAAACGTACTTGTCTAGATAGAAAACGTTATGCTTTCCTACATCTTCAGTGTATATTTCTTTTTACGCCATGTTGACCATCAATGGTAGAAGAAAGAATGGGCTATAAAAGGCCAGACAGGCGGTCAACGAACTCGATCTCACGGTACAAAAGCACTGCCCTCTACCAATTACACAGATTGATTTTTCACATGATTTCCACTGATACGTCACTCGTTAAATAATGGAACTTTTTCTGCACACGTTACAGAAAAGTGCATGCGCCGGGGTATTTGTCTGGCAGAGGGTACGAAAGCACTAGCCTGTCTGCTGGAGAAAACCAAAATGAAACTGGTTTTGACCTAGAGGGCATTTCCAGATATTTAGATCGATCTTACTAGATCGACCTAACTCCCAGGGGGTTCACGCTAAATTTGCAGTCAGCCGACCGCGCGCGGAAGTTAATTACCCCCTTACAGCTTGTAGTAGTCGGGACGGACATTTAAGCCGGGGATAGATCGATCTAAAATCTATGGGAATGCGCCCTAAGACTTTTCTCTTTTTTTGACAATTGATAAATCATAGCAGTTAGGGCCCGTTCCCAATGAAACTATCGTCCTACGAAGTTCCAACAGCGACTATAGCTGAATGCCAACAGATAGGTCGCATTCAAAACAGATGAACCTCGGATCAACTGATCCGCAAATCAAATATGGTACACCCTACATGAAAGCAAGACCACCTAATCCTTTTATGGTCTCCCCGCCTCCACACGGATTAAATTTCGACTTCGAGGTTATTAAACAATTAAATTGCTAGGGCCCCGTAGGGTAGACGCGTGTGGAAGCGGGGAGACCATTCAGAGATTTTTCGGTATTGCTTTTCAGTGGGGTCTGCCATATTTAGTCCGCAGATCAGTATAACAATAAACACGCCCCTCCTGGCGTTGAGTAGAAAACCTTGGCCCAGTTTCAACACTGGATAGCGCTATCCTGAGGATAACACCATCCACTGGATGAAATTGTTATTCTTTGGACAGTTCTCCAGATGATATCAGCCAATGTTAACCACTGGGTAGCAATATCAGAGGCATAAATATCAAGTATCTAGGGATTAGAAAACATTATTTTACCCGCAGGGTAAGCGTCCAGAGGGTAACAATATTATCCAGAGGAGAGCGCTACCCAGTGTTGATGAAACTGGGCCCTGGTGTTTATACAGGTACGAGTGCGTCGGGAACAAGCGGAACTAATCTGCTATATTTCATTCAGTGACAGGCCCCGCAGAATTCGATCGATCTGCATAGAACGAACGTTTTATTGGGAACGAGCCTTTTGCCTTTAATTGAAGTCTACAATTTTGATGACTTTATCGAGATTGCAAGCGATATATTTCCTTCTATCTTCATGGTGTCGCTTGAATTTTTCACGCAGATGTGGGCATTAAATGGTGCTCAATGGACTCCATACAGTACAAAAGAAGTAACATTGGTCAGTTTGGAAGATCTTTATCTGGGGTCAGTTGGTCGAGGAACTAAAACTGACAGTCCTTCTTGACTTAACGGTGGACAGTGTAATGTTTTCCTAAGGAAAAAAAAAACTCGAAGTAATAATTGGGTTATCGGCACTTTTCTTCGTCGAACAAACCTGTGATCCTCCTTTCTTGACCTTTTGGGAGATAAAAAATCTTTAACGAACATTTAAGTGATGGTTTTCGACTTCCGTCTTCTTTTGAGCTCAATTCTCGCAGTGACTTCTAGATTTCGTACAATTTAAAACAGTTTTAATGGTTAGCAGTGATAATAAATTTCATGCCTGGACTGTTAATTGCAGTCCCCACGATGACGACGCCGAGAAGCAACAATTGATTTTTTTTTACACAACCAACTCATATAATGACCAGATGGTACAAGAGAAGCTGCTCGTATTTTTGTGTATTCAAGAAACCTTAATATTTATTTGTATTTGGCCGCTGGTTTACCAAAACTTTTTTCGCTACTGTGGTGGACTGTGGTGGTGAAATAAATTTTTTAGGGGAAATCAGGGTCGTTAAGCAAAGTATTTTAAGAGAGTCCCTGTGGAGTCACAGCGCTTTACCTAGGTCGAAAAAGCCATCGTGCCCGGCGCCTTAAACCCTGAAACTCACACTGTGCTTTAAGAGTTCTAGCACTGTCATAGGGACCAAAGATTATTCTACCTGTCCCTCAGAAGTTGTATAATAGAAATATTAGGCCCACTCTAGGTGACTTGACACTTTTACAAACCCTAAAACTCGCACTGCTGTGTGAGTTCTGCTCATATAAAATTATTACGTGTATTCGGTTAAAGCAGTTTTTTTAGGTTAAATGTTTTTTATCATTTTTTGTTTGTTTGTTATATAGATGATCTGGCGCAGGGAGCAAAAGTAGCTCCACTTATAAGGTCCAATCCTCAATTTTTATCATTTTAAGGGTATTTACCACTTAAAGGGTGGGTTTCAATGATATTTTGCTAACATGATCTTCCAGTTTATATAGCTTAAGATACCGATATACATAACAATATACAATGTAAGGTTCTTTCATATATATTTCATAA